AGAGAAAATGGTGCATCGGCCAGTCTGGCCGGCATTTCGCACTTATAGTGCAAGTAGGGCCAAGGAGAACGGAAACGCTCATTTCTTAAAAAGTAAAGAGAATCTAGCGGTCTCACTCGATCAGAAGGTGGGAAATATATAAATCTAGTGAGCTAAAAAGGTCGAAAGGAATCTAATGCATATGTATATGGAAAATGGTGCATTGGCCAGGTCGGTCAGTATGGGAACTTAGAGTGCAAATGCCAGGGAGAATGGAAGCGCTCAGATCTCGCATAGTACACGGAATCTAGTGGTCTCACTCAAATATAAGGTAGGAAATATATTCATCTAGTGAACGTAAGGGTTTGAAAGGTAACTAACGCACATGTGTAGAGAAAATGGTGCATCGGCCAGTCTGGCCGGCATTTCGCACTTATAGTGCAAGTAGGGCCAAGGAGAACGGAAACGCTAATTTCTCAAAAAGTAAGAGGAATCTAGCGGTCTAACTCGATCAGAAGGTGGGAAATATATATAAATCTAGTGAGCTAATAAGGTTCGAAAGGAATCTAATGCATATGTATATGGAAAATGGTGCATTGGCCAGGTCGGTCAGTATGGGAACTTAGAGTGCAAATGCCAGGGAGAACAGAAGCGCTCAGATCTCGCATAGTACACGGAATCTAGTGGTCTCACTCAAATAGAAGGTAGGAAATAAATTCATCTAGTGAACGTAAGGTTTTGAAAGGTAACTAACGCACATGTGTAGAGAAAATGGTGCATCGGCCAGTCTGGCCGGCATTTCGCACTTATAGTGCAAGTAGGGCCAAGGAGAACGGAAACGCTCATTTCTCAAAAAGTAAAGGGAATCTAGCGGTCTCACTCAATCAGAAGGTGGGAAATATATAAATCTAGTGAGCAAATAAGGTTCGAAAGGAATCTAATGCATATGTACATGGAAAATGGTGCATTGGCCAGGTCGGTCAGTATGGGAACTTAGAGTGCAAATGCCAGGGAGAACGGAAGCGCTCAGATCTCGCATAGTACACGCAATATAGTGGTCTCACTCAAATAGAAGGTAGGAAATAAATACATCTAGTGAACGTAAGGGTTTGAAAGGTAACTAACGCACATGTGTAGAGAAAATGGTGCATCGGCCAGTCTGGCCGGCATTTCGCACTTATAGTGCAAGTAGGGCCAAGGAGAACGGAAACACTCATTTCTCAAAAGGTAAAGAGAATCTAGCGGTCTCACTCGATCAGAAGGTGGGAAATATATAAATCTAGTGAGCTAATAAGGTTCGAAAGGAATCTAATGCATATGTATATGGAAAATGGTGCATTGGCCAGGTCGGTCAGTATGGGAACTTAGAGTGCAAATGCGAGGGAGAACGGAAGCGCTCTGATCTCGCATAGTACATGGAATCTAGTGGTCTCACTCAAATAGAAGGTAGGAAATAAATTCATCTAGTGAACGTAAGGGTTTGAAAGGTAACTAATGCACATGTGTAGAGAAAATGGTGCATCGGCCAGTCTGGCCGGCATTTCGCACTTATAGTGCAAGTAGGGCCAAGGAGAACGGAAACGCTCATTTCTCAAAAAGTAAGGGAATCTAGCGGTCTCACTCGATCAGAAGGTGGGAAATATATAAATCTAGTGAGATAATAAGGTTCGGAAGGAATCTAATCCATATGTATATGGAAAGTGGTGCATTGGCCAGGTCGGTCAGTATGGGAACTTAGAGTGCAAATGCCTGGGAGAACGGAACCGCTTAGATCTCGCATAATACACGGAATCTAGTGGTCTCACTCAAATATAAGGTAGGAAATATATTCATCTAGTGAACGTAAGGGTTTGAAAGGTAACTAACGCACATGTGTAGAGAAAATGGTGCATCGGCCAGTCTGGCCGGCATTTCGCATTCATAGTGCAGGTGGGGCCAGGGAGAACCAAAACGCACGTTTCTCAAAAAGCAGAGGAAATCTAACGGTCTCACTCGATCAGAAGGTGGGAAATATATAAATCTAGTCAGCTAAAAAGGTTTGAATTGGATTCAACGCACATGTATAGAGAAAATGGTGCATTGGCTAGGTCGGTCAGTATCGGAACTTAAAATGCAAATGCCAGGGAGAACGGAAGTGCTCAGAACTCGCATAGTACACGGAATCAAGTGGTCTCACTCAAATAGAAAGTAGGAAATATATTCATCTAATGAACGTAAGGGTTTGAAAGGTAACTAACGCACACGTGTAGAGAAAATGGTGCATCGGCCAGTCTGGCCGGCATTTCGCACTTATAGTGCAAGTAGGGCCAAGGAGAACGGAAACGCTAATTTCTCAAAAAGTAAAGGGAATCTAGTGGTCTCACTCGATCAGAAGGAGGGAAATATATTTATCTAGTGAGCTAATAAAGTTCGAAAGGAATCTAATGCATATATATGGAAAATGGTGCATTGGCCAGGTCGGTCAGTAGGGGAACTTAGAGTGCAAATGCCAGGGAGAACGGAAGCGCTCAGATCTCGCATAGTACACGGAATCTAGTGGTCTCACTCAAATAGAAGGTAGGAAATAAATTCATCTAGTGAACGTAAGGGTTTGAAAGGGAACTAACGCACATGTGTAGAGAAAATGGTGCATCGGCTAGTCTGGCCGGCATTTCGCACTTATAGTGCAAGTAGGGCCAAGGAGAACGGAAACGCTCATTTCTCAAAAATTGAAGGGAATCTAGCGGTCTCACTCGATCAGAAGGTGGGAAATATATAAATCTAGTGAGCTAATAAGGTTCGAAAGGAATCTAATGCATATGTATATGGAAAATGGTGCATTGGCCAGGTCGGTCAGTATGGGAACTTAGAGTGAAAATGCTAGGAAGAACGGAAGCGCTCAGATCTCGCATAGTACACGGAATCTAGTGATCTCACTCAAATAGAAGGTAGGAAATAAATTCATCTAGTGAACGTAAGGGTTTGAAAGGTAACTAATGCACATGTGTAGAGAAAATGGTGCATCGGCCAGTTTGGCCGGCATTTCGCACTTATAGTGCAACTAGGGCCAAGGAGAACGGAAACGCTCATTTCTCAAAAAGTAGAGGGAATCTAGCGGTCTCACTCAATCAGAATGTGGGAAATATATAAATCTAGTGAGCTAATAAGGTTCAAAAGGAATCTAATGCATATGTATATGGAAAATGGTGCATTGGCCAGGTCGGTCAGTATGGGAACTTAAAGTGCAAATGCCAGGGAGAACGGAAGCGCTTAGATCTCGCATAGTACACAGAATCTAGTGGTCTCACTCAAATAGAAAGTAGGAAATAAATTCATCTAGTGAACGTAAGGGTTTGAGAGGTAACAAACGCACATGTGTAGAGAAAATGGTGCATCGGCCAGTCTGGCTGGCATTTCGCACTTATAGTGCAAGTAGGGCCAAGGAGAACGGAAACGCTCATTTCTCAAAACTAAAGGGAATCTAGCGGTCTCACTTGATCAGAAGGTGGGAAATATATAAATCTAGTGAGCTAATAAGGTTCGAAAGGAATCTAATGCATATGTATATGGAAAATGGTGCATTGGCCAGGTCGGTCAGTATGGGAACTTAGAGCGCAAATGCCAGGGAGAACAGAAGCGCTCAGATCTCGCATAGTACACGGAATCTAGTGGTCTCACTCAAATAGAAGGTAGGAAATAAATTGATCTAGTGATCGTAAGGGTTTGAATGGTAACTAACGCACATGTGTAGAGAAAATGGTGCATCGGCCAGTCTGGCCTGCATTTCGCACTCATGGTGCAAGTAGGGCCAAGGAGAACGGAAACGCTCATTTCTCAAAACTAAAGGGAATCTAGCGGTCTCATTGATCAGAAGGTGGGAAATATATAAATCTAGTGAGCTAATAAGGTTCGAAAGGAATCTAATGCATATGTATATGGAAAGTGGTGCATGTCAGAGTATTATAGCTGATGCATGTTTGTAGGCTATAGTGGGGTAGCACATATGGGGTACAGGGTTTTTAGGGTTGTATTTGTACCCAATCTTTCCTTAGTCATTTCATTCCTGTTCATTCTTTTCACATGGTATAGAGCGGGTCCCTCCTAAGGACCGTTTTTTTTTAAGGGCCCACCCACGATTTTTTTTTTTCCTGCCCGGAGCGCGCCCTATTCTCCCCGAGGCGCGCTCCCCCCTAGCGCTTGTCGCGCTGCCCTTGTGGCGCCCCGAGAGTCGCGCGAGCGACTCCTTTTTTTCGCGCGCGCGGCCCGGGCCCCACGTAGCGCTGGCCTTACGGCCGTGCCGCGCCGCCCTCTCGGCTCTGCTGCGCCGCGCCGCCCTCACGCCGGCCGCGCGGCCTCTTCGTCGCTTCAGCGGGCCCCGTCACTTGACGCCCCCGCCGTCCTACTCCCGGCCCCGCCGCTGCACCCTGCCGACCCCGCCGCTGCACCTCTTTCGGCCCCGCCGCTGCACCCTAAAGGCCCCGCCGTCCCCTGTCACGGCCCTGCCGTCCCCTGTCACGGCCCCGCCGCTGCACCCTGACGGCCCCGCCACTGCACCAGTCGGCCCCGCCGCTGCACCCTGACGGCCCCGCCGCTGCACTCTGACGGCCCCGCCGCTGCACCCTGACGGCCCAGCCGTCCCCTGTCCCGGCCCCGCCGCTGCACCCTGCCGGCCCCGCCGCTGCACCCTGACGGCCCCGCCGTCCCCTGTCACGGCCCCGCCGCTGCACCTTGCCGGCCCCGCCGCTGAGTCGCTGCACCCGAGCCGCCCTGCACCCGAGCCGCCCTGCCGCCGAGCAGCCCGGGAGCCGAGCCGCCCTGCACCCGAGCCGCCCTGCCGCCGAGCCGCCCGGGCGCCGAGCCGCCCTGCACCCGAGTCGCCCTGCCGCCGAGCCGCCCGGGAGCCGAGCCGCCCAGCAGCTGAGTCGCTGAGTCGCCGAGCAGCCCTTCTGCAGAGTTTCCCGGCCTGCCCTGCCTGGTGAGCACAGTCGCACTGCCACTGCGTGCTCTTCCCCTACTGCTTGCACTGCTTCGCTGTCGTCGTCATGGCTACCCCTAGTGTCCTAGCTTTTGACGCTGAGGGTCGCGCCATTGATTTTGAGGTCTGGTTAGACGACCTGCAGCTGTTCTTAGAGTGCGACAGGGCTGACAGCCTTTCTCTCTTTGACCTCACCTCTGGCGCCTCTCCTGCTCCTGCTGCTGATGCTGATCCCACTGTCCGCTCTCAGTGGGCCACCCGCGATGCTGCTGCACGTCTTGCTGTGCGTCGCCACCTCCCTACCTCTGAGCGTGCGCACTTTAGTCAGTACAAGAGTGCTCAGACCTTGTACGACGCTGTAGTTGCGCGCTACTCCTCCCCTGCCACTGCTGCACTGAGCCGTCTCATGCTTCCCTACCTCTTTCCTGACCTCTCTGCCTTTCCCACTGTCGCTGACCTCATTACGCACCTCCGCACTAGCGACACTCGCTACCAGCGCCGCCCTTCCTGCTGAGTTCTGCGCTAAGAACCCACCCCCCATGTACATCGCTCTCTACTACGTAGTTGCGCGCCTCCCTGACTCCCTTCGCGTAGTCAGGGACCACTTTCTCGCAGTCTGTCCCACCACCCTCACCGTCGACCTCCTCGAGAAGGCCCTCCTCGCAGCGGAGAAGAGCATAGTCGCTGTAGGTGCTTCTCGTGGTGACCCTCGCACCCCCATCTTTGAGGGGTGCTCTCCTTCCCCCTTGCTGCCTTCTGTTGCCTCTGCTGCTGCTGCCGACCTGCTTGGTCTTGAGTCGGTCGGCGCGGCATCTACCCCTAGTGGGAGACGTCGCTCCAGCAAGGGCAAGGGGGGCAAGGGCGCGGGTGGAGCTGGAGGAAGCGGTGGCGGTGGCGGCGGAGGGAGTGGGGGTGGCGGCGGGACTAGTGGCGGGGGTGGTGGTGGTGGTGGCAGCAGCAGCGGAGACGATGGTGGTGGTGCCAGCGGTGGTGGTGGAGGCAGCGGCGGGGGTGGAGGCGGCGGAGGTGGAGGGGGTGGAGGCGGCAGCGGAGGAGGCGGTGGTGGTGGAGGAGGTGGAGCTGGTCGGGGTGGTACCCAGCAGCGTAGCGGCGGTGGTGGTGGCCAGCGCTCGCAGCGGCAGCAGCAGCAGCGCTCGCGGGGACATCCCTCCGCCTCAGCAGCTTCGTGAGTGGTACGCTGGGCGTCAGAGGGGTGGGGGTACTGGTCCCTGCACCTACGTTCTTCGTTCCGGCGACCGCGCGGGTGAGCAGTGTGGGGGTGCCCACGCCACTCAGCGCTGCTTTGGCCGCCTGACGGACGCTTGGCGTCGGCAGTTCCCTGGGGCTAGTGAGATCCCTCGCTGGGATGAGCTTCTAAGGGCTGGTGTAGCGATCTTTGATCTTGATTTTGATGCTATCCTTGCTGCTATGTATGCTGTGGATTATAGTGAGGAGAATGAGGGTTACCGGTGTTTCCTGCCCGACCCGGGCATTGGTACTGCTGCGCTAGGTGCTTGTGAGGCTGCTGCTCTAGGTGCCAGTGCGACTACGCTCTCAGGTACTGGTGAGACTGCGCTCTCAGGTACTGCGTCGTCCTCGTCCTCCCTCACTTTCACACTTGACTCCGGGGCTTCTCGCTCCTTCTTTCGAGACCACACTACCCTTACGCCGCTCGGCCGGCCGGTTGCGGTCTCCCTTGCTGACCCCTCTGGGGGTCCTGTCCTTTCTCACTTCTCCACTGTCCTCCCGTGTCCGGCTGCCCCTTCGGGCACCCTGTCTGGTCTGTACCTTCCCTCGTTCTCTACGAACTTGGTGAGTGGAGCGGACCTGCAAGCTGTGGGGGTTGACCTGTTCACTCCTGCGAGTCAGCGGGTGACCCACTGCACGGAGGCACGCACAGGCCGACACCTGGCCACGTTCTCGCGTCGGCCGGGGTCGAGTCTCTACACCCTGACCGTTGCGTCTCCTCCTGTCCCTGCGTCTGGTCAGGTGGCTGCGTCGGGTCACGTGCTTGCTGCTGCGTCCCGGTCAGGTCCTGAGTCTGCCCCCTGTTCTTGTCGCCTCCTGTCTCACGAGACTCTCCTGTGGCACCACCGTCTTGGCCACCCCTCCTTGCCCCGTCTTCGGAGCATGGCTTCCCGTGTCCTTGTCTCTGGTCTTCCCCAGTCTCTCCCTCCTCTCCCCTCCGGGCAAGGACCTTCCTGTGTCCCCTGCGTCGAGGGTCGCCTCCGGGCTACTCCTCACTCCTCCCACTTCCCCCCGACAGAGGCTCCCCTGCAGACGCTTCACATGGATGTGTGGGGCCCAGCCCCCGTCCGTGGGCAGGGTTACGAGCGCTACTTCCTGCTGGTGGTTGACGACTACTCGCGTTACACCACAGTCCTCCCCTTGCGCAGCAAGGGTACGCTCACTGAGGTACTGATCGACTGGATCCGCGAGGCTCGTCTCCAGCTCAGGAAGAGCTTCGGCTCGGACTCGGACAGAGGCGGAGAGTTCTCTTCTCGCCTTCTGCGGGACTACTGTCGTGCACGGGGGATTCGCCAGACCTTCACGCTTCCGGACTCACCACAGCAAAATGGGATTGCTGAGCGCCGCATTGGCATGGTCATGGATGTCGCTCGTACGTCCATGATGCATGCGGCTGCCCCCCATTTTCTGTGGCCGTTTGCGGTGAGGTACGCGGCGCATCAGCTCAACCTTCACCCCCGGGTCTCTCGGCCTGCGATGTCCCCAGCCTTGCTGTGGACGGGGAAGGTTGGCGATGCGTCTGTGTTCCGTGTCTGGGGATCTCGGGCGTTTGTCCGCAACTTGTCTGCGGACAAGCTGTCCCCTCGTGCTGCTCCCTGTGTCTTCCTTGGCTTCCCCACTGACGCCCCAGGGTGGCAGTTTTACCACCCCTCCTCTCGTCGTGTTCTGTCCTCCCAGGACGTCACGTTCGACGAGTCAGTCCCCTTCTACCGTCTCTTCCCCTACCGCACTCCTTCCCTCCCCCCTCCCCCGGACTTCCTTGTGCCGGTTCCCCCCCCGGTAGACCCCCTCCCCCCTCAGGTTCCTGCCCCCTCAGGTGTGTCCCAGGTAGACGCCGTTGACCCGGTCGAGGTTACTGGTGACTCTGGTGCTGCTGCGGGTGCTGAGCCTGGGGGTGCTGACTCTGGGGGTGCTGTGCGCGGGGGTGCTGAGCCTGGGGGTGCTACTGCTGGGGGTGCTGGGCCTGAGGGTGCTCCTGCGGAGGGTGCGGAGCCTGGGGGTGCTGAGCCTGGGGGTGCTGTGCCTGGAGGTGCTGGGTCTGGGGGTGCTGGGTCGGGAGCTGCTGAGCCTGGGGGTGCTGAGCTGAGAGCTGCTGAGCCTGGGGGTGCTGCGTCTGGAGCTGCTGAGCCTGGGGTTTCTCCTGCTGCTGCGTCTCGCCGGGAGCCCCTCTCTCCACAGGAGCTGCGCGAGTGGTTCGCTCGCCGCTGGAGGCGTGCTGCTGAGTCTGGAGGTGCTGCTGGAGCTGGAGCTGGAGCTTCTTCGACCGTCGAGAGTGCGGGTGCTACCGGTCCCGGAGCTGCTGGACCTGCGGGTCCTCCTGGAGCTGGAGCTGCTGAGGGCATTGGTGCTGAGCCTACTGCTGTTGGTCCTGCCGCTGGAGGTGTGGGTGGTGCTGGTGCTGTCGCTGAGGGTGGTGGTGCTGTCCCTGCTGAGTCTGGAGCTGCCGCGCGGCCTCGGCCGTACTTCGTTCCGCTCCTGCAGCAGGTTCTTGGTCTTTCTCCTCTAGTAGAGGGTCCACCGCTTGTCCAGTCGCAGTCCCTGCTGGAGCCTTCCTCTCCACTGCCTGCTCCCTCTCCTTACACTGGTCCTACTGGAGGTCTTGCTGAGCGTCGTGAGCCTGCGTCTCGTCCCGCGTCGCCTGTTCGTGCTGCTCGCGCTAGTGGTCGCAGTTCGCGTCAGCGTCCTCCTCCTGTCCCTGGCACGCACCGGATGTCTTTGCGTCCGTCCACTGCTCCTCTGCGTGCCCCTTTGCCGTCTCCTCCTGAGTCCTCTCTTCCTGCGCTTGCCGACCCTGAGTCGGACTCTCTTCGTGCTGCCAGTCCTACTGTCACGCGTCTGCTTGCTACTGTCGTCACTGACCCCTCTTTTGAGTCCACTGCTGCGTCTGCTCTAGTCGCTGAGCTCGTCGACTTTGCTGCTCGCTGTCGTCTCGACTACGCTGCTAGTCTTGTTGCTGAGTCTGCGTCTGTCTGTCCTCCGTCCGTCGGGGGTGAGTGTGCTCTTGGCACGGACGTCCTAGAGGACAGGCAGGAGGAGTTACAGTGTCTAGCGGCTGCTTCACCTCATCTCGCGTCTGTACTGCTTGCCCCTGAGGGAGACCCGGATGCACTAGACATCCCGACTCCGCGTTCTTACGCGGAGGCCGTAGAGGGTCCCTACTCCTCTCAGTGGCAGGCAGCTATGGATGCAGAGATGGCTTCCTGGAAGTCCACAGGCACCTACGTTGACGCGGTTCCCCCTCCTGGGGCGAACATCGTCAGTGGCATGTGGATCTTCAGGGTGAAGCGGCCGCCGGGCTCTCCACCTGTCTTCAAGGCACGGTACGTTGCTCGTGGCTTCAGTCAGCGGCAGGGAGTTGACTACTTTCAGACCTTCTCTCCCACCCCGAAGATGACTACTCTTCGGGTGCTGCTGCACATAGCCGCTCAGCGCGACTACGAGCTTCACTCTCTCGACTTCAGCACTGCGTTCTTGCAGGGTAGCCTGCACGAGGAGATCTGGCTTCGCCGTCCACCTGGCTTCACTGGGACTTTCCCTCCTGGCACCCAGTGGAGCCTCCGACGGCCAGTCTACGGTCTCCGCCAGGCACCGCGTGAGTGGCACGACACACTGAGGACTACGCTTGCGGCTCTTGGGTTTGCTCCTTCTACTGCTGACCCATCGCTGTTTCTTCGCACCGACACTTCCCTGCCGCCGTTTTACATCCTCGTGTACGTCGACGACTTGGTCTTTGCCACAGCGGACACTGCTGGACTCGCCTACGTGAAGTCCGAGCTGCTGAAGAGACACACGTGCACAGACCTGGGTGAACTGCGCAGCTACCTTGGCTTGCAGATCACTCGGGACAGAGCACGCCGCACCATTACCTTGACTCAGTCACACATGGTGCAGCAGGTCCTTCAGCGCTTCGGCTTCACGTACTCCTCGCCTCAGGCCACTCCTCTGCCTACTCGCCACTCACTCTCAGCTCTGCCTTCGGATGAGTCCGTAGAGTCGAGTGGTTCATATGCAGAGCTTGTTGGCTGCCTCATGTACCTGATGACCTGCACACGACCTGACCTTGCATACCCTCTGAGCATTCTTGCACGCTATGTTGCTCCTGGGAGACACAGACCGGAGCACATGGCTGCAGCGAAGAGGGTATTGCGCTACCTGTGCAGTACGTCGGGCATGGGGCTAGTGCTTGGAGGGCGGAGTCCAGTGGTCCTTACCGGCCACGCAGACGCTTCTTGGGCTGACGACCAGGCTACGCAGCGGTCGTCACAGGGTTACACCTTCAGCCTTGGTTCCGGCTCTGTCTCGTGGCGGTCTACTCGCTCGTCTTCGGTTCTCGGCTCCAGTTGTGAGGCTGAGATCTACGCCGGGGCCATGGCTGCACAGGAGCTTCGCTGGCTCACCTACCTGCTGACTGACCTTGGAGAGCCGCCTCGTTCTCCTCCAGTGCTGTACGTAGACAACAAGGCCATGCTGGCCTTGTGTCGAGAGCAGCGCTTGGAGCACAGAACGAAGCACATTGCTCTCCACTACTTCCTTGCTCGTGAGCTGCAGCAGCGTGGTCAGTTGCGACTTGCGTACGTGGCCTCTGAGGCCAACACTGCTGATGTGTTCACCAAGGCACTCGCGCCTTGTGACCATCAGCGCTTTTGCACCCAGCTGGGTCTTGTACCTGTCTTGCCTCACTTGCTCTCCTCTTGACTTCACTTGTACTGTGACATATATATATACCTGCTCGTGCTTGTCTAGTTTTATATATATGTCTGTACTCCTGCATGTGAACTGGCCTCTGGCCCTGCTCTTGTGCTCGGACTGTGTGGTGACTTTGTGATCCACCCTGAGCTTTCTTTGCTTTGCTTTGCTTGACTGGTCTTGTGACCCCTTGTTCTCCCCCACTTAGCCTATGGGGGTGTGTCAGAGTATTATAGCTGATGCATGTTTGTAGGCTATAGTGGGTAGCACATATGGGGTACAGGGTTTCTAGGGTTGTATTTGTACCCAATCTTTCCTTAGTCATTTCATTCCTGTTCATTCTTTTCACAGTGCATTGGCCAGGTCGGTCAGTATGAGAACTTAGAGTGCAAATGCCTGCGAGAACGGAATCGCTCAGATCTCGCATCATACACGGAATCTAGTGGTCTCACTCAAATATAAGGTAGGAAATATATTCATCTAGTGAACGTAAGGGTTTGAAAGGTAACTAACGCACATGTGTAGAGAAAATGGTGCATCGGCCAGTCTGGCCGGCATTTCGCACTCATAGTGTAGGTGGGGCCAGGGAGAACGGAAACGCTCGTTTCTCAAAAAGTTGAGGGAATCTAACGGTCTCACTCAATTAGAAGGTGGGAAATATATAAATCTAGTCAGCTAAAAAGGTTTGAAAGGTATTCAACGCACATGTATAGAGAAAATGGTGCATTGGCCAGGTCGGTCAGTATCGGAACTTAAAATGCAAATGCCAGGGAGAACAGAAGCGCTCAGATCTCCCATAGTACACGGAATCAAGTGGTCTCACTCAAATAGAAAGTAGGAAATATATTCATCTAGTGAACGTAAGGGTTTGAAAGGTAACTAACGCACATGTGTAGAGAAAATTGTGCATCGGCCAGTCTGGCCGGCATTTCGCACTTATAGTGCAACTAGGGCCAAGGAGAACAGAAACGCTCATTTCTCAAGTAGAGGGAATCTAGCGGTCTCACTCGATCACAAGGTGGGAAATATATAAATCTAGTGAGCTAATAAGGTTTGAAAGGAATCTAGTGCATATGTATATGGAAAATGGTGCATTGGCCAGGTCGGTCTGTATGTGAACTTAGAGTGCAAATGCCAGGGAGAACGAAAGCGCTCAGATCTCGCATATTACACGGAATCTAGTAGTCTCACTCAAATAGAAGGTAGGAAATAAATTCATCTAGCGAACGTAAGGGTTTGAAAGGTAACTAACGCACATGTGTAGAGAAAATGGTGCATCGGCCAGTCTGAACGGCATCTCGCACTTATAGTGCGAGTAGGGCCAAGGAGAACGGAAACGCCTATTTCTCAAAAAGTAAAGGGAATCTAGCGGTCTCACTCGATCAGAAGGTGGGAAATATATAGGTTCTAGTAAGCTAACAAGGTTCGAAAGGAATCTAATGCATTTGTTTCTGAAAAATGGTGCATTGGCCAGGTCGGTCAGTATGGGAACTTAGAGTGCAAATGCCAGGGAGAACGGAAGCGCTCAGATCTCGCATATTACACGGAATCTAGTGGTCTCACTCGAATAGAAGGTGGGAAAATAATTCATCTAGTGAACGTAAGGGTTTGAAAGGTAACTAACGCACATGTGTAGAGAAAATGGTGCATCGGCCAGTCTGGCCGGCATTTCGCACTTATAGTGCAAGTAGGGCCAAGGAGAACGGAAACGCTCATTTCTCAAAAAGTAAAGGTAATCTAGGCGGTCTCACTCGATCAGAAGGTGGGAAAATATATAAATCTAGTGAGCTAATAAGGTTCGGAAGGAATCTAATGCATATGTATATGGAAAGTGGTGCATTGGCCAGGTCAGTTAGTATGGGAACTTAGAGTGCAAATGCCTAGGAGAACGGAACCGCTCAGATCTCGCATAATACACAGAATCTAGTGGTCTCACTCAAACATAAGGTAGGAAATATATTCATCTAGTGAACGTAAGGGTTTGAAAGGTAACTAACGCACACGTGTAGAGAAAATGGTGCATCGGCCAGTCTGGCCGTGATTTCGCACTCATAGTGCACGTGGGGCCAGGGAGAACGGAAACGCTCGTTTCTCAAAAAGTAGAGGGAATCTAACGGTCTCACTCGATCATAAAGTGGGAAATATATAAATCTAGTCAGCTAAAAAGGTTTGAAATGTGTTCAACGCACATGTATAGAGAAAATGGTGCATTGGCCAGGTCGGTGAGTATGGGAACTTAGACTGCAAATGCCAGAGAGAACAGAAGCGCTCAGATCTCGCATAGTACACGGAATCAAGTGGTCTCACTCAAATAGAAAGTAGGAAATATATTCATCTATTGAACGTAAGGGTTTGAAAGGTACCCAACGCACATGTGTAGAGAAAATTGTGCATCGGCCAGTCTGGCCGGCATTTCGCACTTATAGTGCAACTAGGGCCAAGGAGAACGGAAACGCTCATTTCTCAAAAAGTAAAGGGAAATCTAGTGGTCCCACTCATCAAAGTGGGAAATATATAAATCTAGTGAGCTAATAAGGTTGAAAGGAATCTAATGCATATGTATATGGAAAAGATGGGTGCATTGGCCAGGACGGTCAGTAGGGAACTTAGAGTGCAAATGCCAGGGAGAACAGAAGCGCTCAGATCTCGCATAGTACAACGGAATCTAGTGGTCTCACTCAAATAGAAGGTAGGAAATAAATTTATCTAGTGAACGTAAGGGTTGAAAGGTAACTAACGCACATGTGTAGAGAAAATGGTGCATCGGCTAGTCTTTGCCAGCATTTCACACTTATAGTGCAAGTAGGGCCAAGGAGAACGGAAACGCTCATTTCTCAAAACGTAATGGGAATCTAGCGGTCTCACTCGATCAGAGGGTGGGAAATATATAAATCTAGTGAGCTAATAAGGTTCGTAAGGAATGTAATGCATATGTATATGGAAAGTGGTGCATTGGCCAGGTCGGTCAGTATGGGAGCTTAGAGTGCAAATGCCTGGGAGAACGGAACCGCTCAGATCTCGCATAATACACGGAATCTAGTGGTCTCACTCAAATATAAGGTAGGAAATATAATTCATCTAGTGACGTAAAGGGTTTGAAAGGTAACTAACGCACATGTTGTAGAGAAAATGGTGCATCGGCCAGTCTGGCCGGCATTTCGCACTTATAGTGCAGTAGGGCCAAGGAGAACGAAACGCTCATTTTCAAAAAGTAAAAGAATCTAGCGGTCCTTCACTCGATCAGAAAGGTGGAAATATATAAATCTAGTGAGCTAATAAGGTTCGAAGGAATCTAATGCATATGTATATTGGAAAGTGGTGCATTGGCCAGGTCGGTCAGTATGGGAACTTAGAGTGCAAATGCCAGGGAGAACGGAAAGCGCTCAGATCTCGCACAGTACAAACGGAATCTAGTGGTCTCACTCAAATAGAAGGTAGGAAATAAATTCATCTAGTGAACGTAAGGGTTGAAAGGTAACTAACGCACATGTGTAGAGAAAATGGTGCATCGGCCAGTCTGGCCGGCATTCGCACTTATAGTGCAAGTAGGGCCAGAGGAGAACGGAAAAACCCTCATTTCTCAAAAGAGTAAAGGGAATCTAGCGGTCTCACTCGATCAGAGGTGGAAATTTATAAATCTAGTGAGGCTAATAAGGTTCGGAAGGAATCTAATGCATATGTATATGGAAAGTGGTGCATTGGCCAAAGTCGGTCAGTATGGGAACTTAGAGTGCAAATGCCTAGGAGAACGGAACCGCTCAGATCTCGCATAATACACGGAATCTAGTGGTCTCACTCAAATATAAGGTAGGAAATAGAGTTCATCTAGTAAACGTAAGGGTTTGAATAGGTACTACGCACATGTGTAGAGAAAATGGTGCATCGGCCAGGTTTGGCCGGCATTTCGCACTTCATAGTGCAGGTGGGGCCAGGGAGAACGGAAACGCTCGTTTCTCAAAAAGTAGAGGGAATCTAACGGTCCTCACTCGATCAGAAGGTGGGAAATATATAAATCTAGTCAGCTAAAAAGGCTTGAAATGTATTCAACGCACATGTATAGAGAAAATGGTGCATTGGCCAGGTCGGTCAGTATCGGAACTTAGAATGCAAATGCCAGGGAGAAATGGAAGCGCTCAGATCTCGGCACAGTACACGGAATCAAGTGGTCTCACTCAAATAGAAAGTAGGAAATATATTCATCTAGTGAACGTAAGGGTTTGAAAGGTAACTAACGCAACATGTGTAGAGAAAATGGTGCATCGGCCAGTCTGGCCGGCATTTCGCACTTATAGTGCAAGTAGGGCCAAGGAGAAACGAAAACGCTCATTTCTCAAAAAGTAGAGGGAATCTAGCGGTCTCACTCGATCAGAAGGTGGCAAATATATAAATCTAGTGAGCTAATAAGGTTCGAAGGAATCTAATGTCAGAGGTCCACTGGTGATCCCCGATCGATCCTAGGGAAGGGTTACAGGCACATTTGCCTGGGGGGTTATGGGCGCACTAACCCCGTACTGAAACAAGCCCTTTATCCCAATGGTCTAGTGGTTGGGATTCTGAGATGGTATCCAGAGCGAAGGTCTGGGGTTCCAATCCCAGTGTATGCACTTCGGGCATCCCAGTGCAAGGGGTCGTCAGAGGTCCACTGGTGATCCCCGATTGATCCTAGGGAAGGGTTACAGGCACATTTGCCTGGGGGGTTATGGGCGCACTAACTCGCTACTGAAACAAGCCCTTTATCCAATGGTCTAGTGGTTGGGATTCTGAGAGATCTAATGCATATGTATATGGAAAATGGGCATTGGCAGGTTGGTCAGTATGGGAACTTAGAGTGCAAATGCCAGGGAGAACGGAAGCGCTCAGATCTCGCATAGTACACGGAATCTAGTGGTCTCACTCAAATAGAAGGTAGGAAATATATTCATCTATTGAACGTAAGGGTTTGAAAGGTACCCAACGCACATGTGTAGAGAAAATGTGCATCGGCCAGTCTGGCCGGCATTTCGCACTTA